GAGAGAGAGAGAGAGAGAGAGAGAGAGAGAGAGAGAGAGAGAGAGAGAGAGAGAGAGAGAGAGAGAGAGAAAGAGAGAGAGAGAGACGTTCGAATCATACTTGCAGAGCATCTCATGCGCGGGGTGCTGCACGCGCATGCACGCACGCACAAGTGATGCGGCGGATTAAAAAAGTAGAAAAACAAAAATGTCCTAGTTGTGTCCAGCCTCTTTTCGGAAGGATCCCTACCGCATATTAGCTAGGACCCGACGTCATGCAGAGACACACTTTAAACTTGTACTCCCTGAGCGGGGCCAGAGAATATATAGTCTGGATTCAAATTCAGGTCTGTGCATGTCGGTTATGGGTCACTATTTCTCTGTTTTCTCGCTTTTCATTTCTTTTCTCGTTTTTCTTTTCTTAGGAATACGTGCAGTGGCCCTAAGGGCCTTTACTCACCAAATGCACAAAAGACAAAACATATGGTGGCGTATTATTCCACGTTCTGCAGAAGATTCATTCTAATTTTGCACATTTCGTGAGTAGTGCAGCCAAGCCCTAAGAATCACGTGCGGAGACCAACAGGGCCTACCTCTGTGAGCAACCCATAGCTGCTGAAACACAGACCTGAATTCAAATCTTGAGTATATGTTCGGCCAGCTCGTACTCTATTTTATATTCACTGCCTGCCTCGATTTTGGTGGGGGGGTCTGCGCTACATGTCTGCGAGGACCCTTCAGATAGCCTGCATGGGCCGTCTGAGCCGTGTTAAGGGGATCCGTTCTCTCTCTCTCTCTCTCTCTGAAAGGGTGTCCGAACCATGTAAAGTAACCCACTCCCCACGGCGAGGACCACCTACGGTCATGTACATTTGCACTGGCCTTCTTCCCTGTGGGATCCGCGCTAAGGCGTAATCATGTGCTTCACGAACCGCATTTGTGTGTGTGTGTGTGTGTGTTATAGATCACTAGTAGTGCAGCATGCCGCAACCAGTTCAACGATGCTACACAAGAGCATGGAAAAAATATCTGGAACAGGTGCATTAAAGGAAGGTCCAAAGTTCTCCAAACCCATGTAATCTTATTATAAGGGGCGCTGGGCCCGGTTCCCAGCACGAGCTGCTCCCCACGGATAGATCGGAGCTTTTTTCAAAAAAAAAGGGAGGTCCATAGACTCCATACCACCCAGAAATCGAGAGATGGTTAATGGAAGGTGGAAATCAGAACTTCAGTAGCAAAAAGAAGTCGAGGATCATGAAAGACTGTTTCATCGGGCTTTCACAAACTCATTAGGAGGCAGAATCCTGAGAGATTGCAGAGCCCCCCCATGATTTGTTGAGCCATGATCTGCTTCGCCAACTCCTTAGGAGGTCGAACTCTGTTTGACTGATGAGACTGTCGCATGAACAGTAATTACCTCTGCAGGAGAACTGTGTCAAATACCCCAAGGGTACAGGGTGGTCAGACACCGAACCTGACATGCCCTTGAAGGTGTAGCGTGTGTGTGTGTGTGTGGGTGTGTATGTGCATGTATCTTTGTATTGGATGAACACATCTCCATAAAGGAAGGGTGGCTGCCACACAATGTTGCAAAGAACTGTCTCCACTGACTCTCCAACTCATCAGGAGTTCGAACCCTGACAGTGTATCCAGGATGTGTGTGAAAATCGCTGGTTAATTGCAAGCAGAGAGGTGTGAGATGGGGACCAGGGCACACAGAGAGAGAGAGAGAGAGAGAGAGAGAGAGAGAGAGAGAGAGAGAGAGAGAGAGAGAGAGAGAGAGAGAGAGAGAGAGAGAGAGAGA